ACTTGGTCTCTTATGTTCTGAACTTTGGTGTAAATGGTGATGTCTCCAGCATGCTAGTAGTTAGATTTTATTTAGATGCCATAACTGGTAATACAGTTTTTATTTTGACTATATTAATTTAGTTTTTTGAGGGGAAATTTATTTGTTTATCCCACTACTCAAAGCACATGGAGGTTTTTTAGTTATTAGTGGGACTGGAAGAAGAGGAAAAGAGAGGGAGTAAAGTCACAGAAGTGCTGTTGTTCAGTTGTCATTCAGTATAGTTGCTAGTAGGTTTATATTTACTCAATGAAGTCAACGACCTGAACTACCTATAAAAATTTAGCAGTGCTGCAGTGTTGCTTAAGTGAAACCCTTCGGCTATCTAGTAGTTTTTATGCTACTGAAACTTGGATTACTGTATATTCAGCTCATGTCCTGAGCCCTCTATATAGACAAATATTCATATTCATAATAGCATTGTATACTGGCCTGTTTTTATAACTTTATTTTTCGAACATGAACAACCACTGCTTTCAGAGTGGTTATTTTGTTATTTTTGAAGCAGGAAATAACCATTTGTATTTGCACCTGTGTATTGCATATTAATTATGGTATACTTGGCAAATGCTTTTCTTTTACCTGTGAAAATTCTGAAAGCTGGTCCAAACGACACTGCATACCAAATTGTGCTCTTATATATTATTGCATTGTGTTCCTTTTTAATCAATAGCATGTTTTATTTTTTTTATAGTAGCTTTTGCTGTAAGAATGTCACCTGCTTATTTTTTATTGTACTTGAATTCTTAATCATGCTTTTAACATTGTATTTAACAAGTCATTTCATATTAAGTTCCATTATAATGTCATTCCTTTAAAAAGGCAAGGGATTCCCACTTTCAGAATTCTAAAATGAAAGTAGCGTGTTTATCCAAAGAGGGAAAATAGTTCAGACTTGGTGGTATGAAAATAAGTAACAGTTTCTGAAGAGGATTTGTTTAGATTTGCACAGAGGGTGATGGCACCTTTTACTTAGAAAAACAATTAACATTAACAGTGCTAAGGAAGATTTACACAAAATTACAAGATAAAGTGACGAAAGTGAGGAAATGTATGCCTTTCAGTATACAAACTCTTGCATGGTGGTCATTTGGATAATCAGACCACTTGAATGCCTGAGAGCACATTTAATCTTTTGGCGTGCCACATATGGCTAAAACAACTCTTTAATGTGCAATTTGTTTCTAGAGTAAAATGTCTGTTGTAAGAGGGTGATCTTTATATTTGGCTCTTATATTTTTTAAATGGTCACATTTCTTTCTGTTAATTAAATGCGATCATAATGTCACATTTACACTGTTGCCTCTTTTAAAATCAAAGCCACTCTGATGTTATTCTAATGGAATTACATCAAGATTTGAGCAGTGTGTATAGTGATTAAAATGTTCTTGATATGAGCATAATAGATT